TATATTTGTATTAAGTTTCCATTGGTAATAGGTATATTTGTATTATTAAAAAGCTTAGACTGGATCAAAATAGCATTGTTAATGGTGAAATTATCAGGTATGTCATATGTAAACACAGCTACCTGAGATGTGAATTGCTTAAGCTGGAGACAACAGCCTGATAAACAAAGGTACATATTTTAAGATTGATAACTTTATAACAGGACGGAGGAACGGCCCTGTTTGTTGCATGTCAGTGTAACCACCTGGATGTCGTGGATGAGTTGTTGGCACGAGGGGCAGACATCCACTGTCAGATGGTGGACGGAGCCACGTCATTGTTTATAACGGCACAGAACGGACATCTTAAACTCCTCAAATATCTCATCAGCAAGGGTGCTGATGTCAACGCAAAACGACAGGTCTGAATTTATATATAAAACAAAGATATGCTTGTGATGGCCAAACAGTCTTATTGCGAATTCCTTTCGTCTCTCCTGGCTTAAAATTGTCTCCTGGCTAGGAATTGTCTCCTGGCTTAAAATTGTCTCCTGGCTAGGAATTGTCTCATAAACAACAAACTCTACAATGAGTATGTAGATTACTTTTATTTCGCTTGTAATTAATTTCAATAACTGTTTTTTTGGTATTTATTGTGAGGACTTTTATTCTTGTGTTGCTCTAGGTTCTTTTTGTCAGTCAATGTGTCATTAATCAGGAGCTTATATGTCATTTACAGTTTCCCCAGCTATTGCCAATTTTTTTATGTATTTTATGGGATGGCAGAGTGTGGCATGTCAAAATCAGTTGCGCCACTATACAGAGCTATAGCCCTTTGTTATTTATATCGAAATATGCCTACAGGAAAGGGGGCCCGCAATACTCTTCCTTGGATTAGTATATTATCATTGGTATAATACACCTAGACTAAATTTTACTAGAGTTATAAGCAAAATGACATTTTAAGCAAAATTTCATAATTGATTACAACTAATTTTCAAAAAAATATTTATGAATTATAAAGCAATGAAAAGCTGAAACTTTCTGTAATCAAGAAATTGCCTGTAGAGAAACAGAGACCATATTTCGTCATTTACCTTTGGAGAATTTATGCTAAGTTTTCACAAATGAAAGAAAAGAACCTTAGCAAATTTTGTGAATGCATCAACTGTGGGTTTTATGTAAAATGCTTTGACAAGCATTCTGTTTGTTGTGTGTCACGTTCTATGAAATAATGCATAAATTTGAATTTTTCCAATTTCGTGTAAAATAGATCTTTGGGGAAAGAAGGTAGAAAATTCACTAAGAATTGCTCATGTTTTTCTGTAAGTAAAGTCTGACAAGGATATGTCAATAGCTTTCTGTTCAGGTGGTATGTACATAATTATATACCTATTTGTATCTGGAGTCTATGTGTACTCCAGGACAGACTGTGTTACATTGAGCCTCGAGAGCCAGGCAGGTTCTATTATAATTATAGGAATTGACTAATGGACCACCATTTAGACTTAATGTAGATGAAAAACTAAATTACCTGGAATGTACGTATTACATAAGTCTCACAGTAAATGAACGTGTATAATATCATTGTTACCATTATGGTATAGTGAGGTGTGTGTAATTGATTTTAACTATCAGCTTAAGGTTGAGAATCCCAGTACTCTGTCTTGTTTCTCCAACAATGAAGAGTTCTGATTTATTTAACTTTTTTTTTTTAGCCTTGCTTGTCCATTTAATTTACTATATATGAAATTCATTCATTTATCATAAATGCATTCCACCATGGGAAATTAACTTCTCTGGACATCTAAATTCCAAAGTAGGAAGCTTATCCACTACACTCACAGACATGATATTGGTTATGTTAGTACTTTGCTGCAATATTACCAATAATCATTGCAGATTTTTGTTAACTATATTTACCCCCTATTTCACCGAAGCGGGGGATATTAATTTGGGTTTGTCGTCTGTCACGTTTCGTTTCCGTGCAATAACTGCAACAAATAATAACCGATTTTCTTCAAACTTGGTAACAGGGTTGAATGCCATAAGGGCTCAGTCAGGTTCGATGACCACTCTCAGCGTATTTTATTTCGCAGAGTTATGGCCCCTTGAATAACGAAAAATGTCATTATCTGTCGTTTCCGTGCAATCACTGCAACAAATATTAACTGATTTTCTTCAAACTTGGTAACGGGGTTAAATGCCATGAGGGCTCAGTCAGGTTCGTTGACCACTCTCAGCGTATTTTATTTGGCAGAGTTATTGTCCCTTGAATAAGAAAAACTTCATTATCTGCCGTTTCTGTTCATTTACTCGCAAATTATTATCAGATTGTCTTCATACTTAGTAATAGGGTTCAACACATTAAGGGCTCGTCTAAGTTTGACAACCACTTCAATCAGATTCCATTGCGGAGTAACGGCCCCTTGATCAACTAAAAACGTCATTATCAGTAGTTTCTGCTGAATAACTCTATCAAATATTACCCAAATTCCTTCAAACTTGATAACAATGTTTGTGTTCCTCTGTTTTTCCACCCATCTTGGGCACTCTTTGGTTTTCGTGTGATAATTGCTGTAGATATTGTGCAGATATTTCAACCAAATTCCGTATGCTCATCCGACTCATGCTTACTTTGCCAACCAATGTGATTTGTGCATATTTACTGATAATTAATGAGGTTAGTTAACTCTGATGGATTAAATGATTAATTTACACCGTAATACCTACATGTTCAATAAAAAGTCTTAACTTCTGTACAAGGCTTTGTTTTCTTCGAACTTCAAGCTATACATTATGTCTCAACAGCAAGATACTTACATGTTTAAACCTTACCTCAATAATGATTACCTACAATATGTCCTGCAAGCGGGGGATATAAATTCCACGAGTTTGCTTGTTTATATCTGATTTCAATGACTTTTTTGATCATATAATAACCTGACTCTTGACTTGCAGGATCAGGCGACGCCCCTATGGATTGCATCACAGATGGGCCACGTGCCGGTTGTAAGGGAACTACTGCTGGCCAATGCAGAAGTGGATGCTCTGAGAGAGGTAAGACAAGGGAGATAAGTCTTGCTGTGCTACTGGTTGAATGCCTGAAACTTATGGTAGATATTTTGGAGAGAGAAAAAGAATAATATAACAACTTCTTTAAGTAAAGCTTCAATGACTTATTACCCAAACAGTGTTTATTAGATGGGTTGGAAATACATGTATAGCACAAATACTAGTTTTATCATACTTCATTAGAAGTTTTTCATTTCATACTATTTTGATAGCGTGTTTGCCAAATTTTGAATTTTGTTTTTCTGAAAATATGTGTATAAATATAAGATCTTTAGTTATATGAACTGAGGTGATGATTCTGAATCCCAGGACATGTATTTATTGTTTCAGTTTTAAGATATATGAAAATATCAGGGAGAAAAAATACACATTGTGCATGAAACATTTCTGTTTTCTGTTGTTGCTGGAGTCCTAGTTCTGATGTAACTGTCTTTAACATCTCTGCTTTCTGTTGTTGCTGGAGTCCTAGTACAGATGTAACTGTCTGTAACATTTCTGCTTTCTGTTGCTGCTGTAGTCCTAGTACTAATGTTACTGTCTGTAACATTTCTGCTTTCTGTTGTTGCTGGAGTCCTAGTTCTGATGTAACTGTCTGTAACATGTCTGCTTTCTGTTGTTGCTGGAGTCCTAGTACTGATGTAACTGTCTGTAACATTTCTGCTTTCTGTTGTTGCTGGAGTCCTAGTACTGATGTAACTGTCTGTAACATTTCTGCTTTCTGTTGTTGCTGGAGTCCTAGTACTGATGTAACTGTCTGTAACATTTCTGCTTTCTGTTGTTGCTGGAGTCCTAGTACTGATGTAACTGTCTGTAACATTTCTGCTTTCTGTTGTTGCTGGAGTCCTAGTACTGATGTAACTGTCTGTAACATTTCTGCTTTCTGTTGTTGCTGGAGTCCTAGTACTGATGTAACTGTCTGTAACATTTCTGCTTTCTGTTGTTGCTGGAGTCCTAGTACTGATGTAACTGTCTGTAACATTTCTGCTTTCTGTTGTTGCTGGAGTCCTAGTACTGATGTAACTGTCTGTAACATTTCTGCTTTCTGTTGTTGCTGGAGTCCTAGTACTGATGTAACTGTCTGTAACATTTCTGCTTTCTGTTGTTGCTGGAGTCCTAGTACTGATGTAACTGTCTGTAACATTTCTGCTTTCTGTTGTTGCTGGAGTCCTAGTACTGATGTAACTGTCTGTAACATTTCTGCTTTCTGTTGTTGCTGGAGTCCTAGTACTGATGTAACTGTCTGTAACATTTCTGCTTTCTGTTGTTGCTGGAGTCCTAGTACTGATGTAACTGTCTGTAACATTTCTGCTTTCTGTTGTTGCTGGAGTCCTAGTACTGATGTAACTGTCTGTAACATTTCTGCTTTCTGTTGTTGCTGGAGTCCTAGTACTGATGTAACTGTCTGTAACATTTCTGCTTTCTGTTGTTGCTGGAGTCCTAGTACTGATGTAACTGTCTGTAACATTTCTGCTTTCTGTTGTTGCTGGAGTCCTAGTACTGATGTAACTGTCTGTAACATTTCTGCTTTCTGTTGTTGCTGGAGTCCTAGTACTGATGTAACTGTCTGTAACATTTCTGCTTTCTGTTGTTGCTGGAGTCCTAGTACTGATGTAACTGTCTGTAACATTTCTGCTTTCTGTTGTTGCTGGAGTCCTAGTACTGATGTAACTGTCTGTAACATTTCTGCTTTCTGTTGTTGCTGGAGTCCTAGTACTGATGTAACTGTCTGTAACATTTCTGCTTTCTGTTGTTGCTGGAGTCCTAGTACTGATGTAACTGTCTGTAACATTTCTGCTTTCTGTTGTTGCTGGAGTCCTAGTACTGATGTAACTGTCTGTAACATTTCTGCTTTCTGTTGTTGCTGGAGTCCTAGTACTGATGTAACTGTCTGTAACATTTCTGCTTTCTGTTGTTGCTGGAGTCCTAGTACTGATGTAACTGTCTGTAACATTTCTGCTTTCTGTTGTTGCTGGAGTCCTAGTACTGATGTAACTGTCTGTAACATTTCTGCTTTCTGTTGTTGCTGGAGTCCTAGTACTGATGTAACTGTCTGTAACATTTCTGCTTTCTGTTGTTGCTGGAGTCCTAGTACTGATGTAACTGTCTGTAACATTTCTGCTTTCTGTTGTTGCTGGAGTCCTAGTACTGATGTAACTGTCTGTAACATTTCTGCTTTCTGTTGTTGCTGGAGTCCTAGTACTGATGTAACTGTCTGTAACATTTCTGCTTTCTGTTGTTGCTGGAGTCCTAGTACTGATGTAACTGTCTGTAACATTTCTGCTTTCTGTTGTTGCTGGAGTCCTAGTACTGATGTAACTGTCTGTAACATTTCTGCTTTCTGTTGTTGCTGGAGTCCTAGTACTGATGTAACTGTCTGTAACATTTCTGCTTTCTGTTGTTGCTGGAGTCCTAGTACTGATGTAACTGTCTGTAACATTTCTGCTTTCTGTTGTTGCTGGAGTCCTAGTACTGATGTAACTGTCTGTAACATTTCTGCTTTCTGTTGTTGCTGGAGTCCTAGTACTGATGTAACTGTCGGTAACATTTCTGCTTTCTGTTGTTGCTGGAGTCCTAGTTCTGATGTAACTGTCTGTAACATTTGTTATAATTGAAGGATGGAGCCACACCTCTATTTAAAGCCTGTCACAAAGGTCACCTAGAGGTCACCGAACAACTTCTGCGGTACAAACCCACCCTGGGACTGTTACAGGTATGTCAGGAGTAAAAGTGAGGATGTTAGGAATTCTGATTTTATAGTTGTATGATAAGATGATTAAATATTTATTTAGAATTTATTAGCAATGCTGTATTTGCATATTCCTGTTAATTTTCATGATTTTCTTTGAAAAAAATAGAGAAAAGAAATAACAGGAGATCACTGTACTCATATATTCCTATTTATCAAAATCAGTTGAACATTCAAAACATAATTACATCAACAGTAACTTGTATTCATGTTTTACACAGAATGGAGAGACGCCACTTCATGCTGCTGCCTTGTTTGGTCATATGAAAGTAATCAAACTTCTTCTGTCTTATAGTGTGGACACACAAATAAAAAACAAGGTAAGTCTTATCAAGAGTAGTTATTCAGGTTCCACTCTATGTCATTCTAAATCATAAACATAAATCATCTGTGTCAGGTACAGTATTCCTGGTTGTCCTAATTCCTTCACCCGAATCTCTATATTAATATGTTTACAGTCAGTTTGACTTTTTAGATGCTGATTTTAGATTGTCAAATGGTGATATTATACTGGAAAAACACTTTGTTCTGTTTATACGGGGAGTGGGAGATCCAATGTCAGTACAAAGAGTTTAGCGAAGTTCTGTGTTACCCAGCGGACGGATTCCACAAGGAATACACGGGTCCTGCCGCAGCAGTAGAGTTATCTATAGGTAAAGGTGACCATGACAACATCGTGCTGGGTTTACTGGCTTTAATTAAAATCACGTTAACTAGTTTCAACGCATGAGATGTGTCATCATCAGAAGCACGTTTGTTCTGTTTAACTTAAATAAACCACTAATGTTTTGCATTACGAGGTTATTCTTTCAATGAAATGGAACAGTACACATTCATTGATTTTTGACACAGTGTACCTGTGATTGGAGTTATCTCCCTTAAAGGATATGTGCTACCAGACATATACAATTGTACTTGGGATTTGTGATTGAGTTAATCTCCCTTCAATATTTTAATAAGCAAAATGTGTTTATTGTTACCTGAGTGTTTTCTGATTTCAGTGTTAGCATTCTTTGGCACCTTTCAAATGTACCTGTATCTTTTGCTAAAGAGGTATATGTCCAAATAACTTACCATACATTCTTAAATGAAACGTTTGTGTTTCAGGAGGGTAAAACTGCCGTAGAGTTAGCCAGAGAAGCAGGATATGACTACATTGCCAAGTTTGTGGAAAGTTATGTGAGGAGCAGTACTCCTAACGGATCCACCTCCTCGTCCTGATGTAGTCACGGCAACCCGAGAAAATCTACGCATCTGTGATCTGAGTGTTGTTAGACCAGTTGTAAACCTGCTATAGGCAAACCTCTACAGGGGCTGCCTACTCTCACATCATCAATGACACAGGGTTGATGCTGGACTCCAAAAGCACAATAATCACCAGTTACCTATAATATATAAATAGAGGTCAACACTAACTCCACTTTTAAAATCAAGTTCAACCCTAACTTTAGTTATAAGGTCAAGTCAAGTTCAACCCTAATTTTTGTTATAAGGTCAAGTCAAGTTCAACCCTAACTTTTGTTATAAGGTCAAGTCAAGTTCAACCCTAACTTTAAATCTATAGTCAGAGTTTAATTCTAACTTTTGTTATAAGGTCAAGTCAAGTTCAACCCTAACTTTTGTTATAAGGTCAAGTCAAGTTCAACCCTAACTTTAGTTATAAGGTCAAGTCAAGTTCATCCCTAACTTTTAGTTATAAGGTCAAGTCAAGTTCAACCCTAACTTTAAATCTATAGTCAGAGTTTAATCCTAACTTTAGTTATAAGGTCAGATTGAGTTATACCCTAACTTTTGATCGAGGGTCGACAAGCCAAGTTCAACCCTAACTTTAAATAAGTTATATGGAGACACGGTAGTCTAGTGGTATGACGCCGGGCTCAGGACCGAAGGGTTGTGTGTTCGAGTCACGGCATGGCACTGTGTTGTATCCTTGGACAAGATACTTTACTCCGCTTTTTCCAGTCTACTCAGCTGTAAATGAGTATGTGGTTGGGCAGTGCTAGAATTGTTGAATGCTAGCTGTTAGCGCCGAAATGGCAGCTCCGGCTGTATGCTCCTTAGGGAGTTGAGAAAGATATTGGCTGGGTGCAAAGGCCCTATAACCACGGATAATAATTTGTGAACCACTTTGAGACAAACTATGAACTAGGTTGTGATAAAGTGGTATATAAGAACCTGAAATTATTATTATTATTATTATAAGGTCAAGTTGACGTCAACCCTAACTTTAGTTAGAAGGTCACATATAACTTAAATAAGGCTTATTTAATCCAGCCATAGCTTTGTCACAACTACCACAACTGTTCAGAGAATCGCTTTCAAATAATTTTCCTTTTTAGTTTTTGAGCTGATTCAATAAAAGAGTGATTTCAGAGTTTTAAACTATGTATATGTATATATAGGATTGAATTTGTTGGCTTAAAATGTGTTCATACAGATACAGAATAAGTTTAATGTTAAGTTTGATTTAATTGCATCTTAATTGCTTAATGTAAGTTCTCTACAGACTTGCTGGCTGATTCATATTAAAAAACAACATAAAATCAAATCAGAAAGTGTCCCTGTGTCATTTAGCGGTGTATGTATAGGATTGTACCCAGCTGTGTTTGTATGTGGTTGGCCCCATTTAGCGGTGTATGTATAGGGTTGTACCCGGCTGTGTTTGTATGTGGTTGGCCCCATTTAGCAGTGTATGTGGGTTGTACCCAGCTGTGTTTGTATGTGGTTGGCCCCATGTGTCTTATTAAGAAAATAGACAAGAATTTGTTGTTGATATGTTTTTGTAATTGCAATGTTAAGTTGCTGTCTTTGAGGATTGTTTATTGAACAGTCAAATGGTTGTATGATGGAACTTCCGCATTCGATTTGATTCTAAGAATACTCATTTTGCACCGATATTAATGCCCCATGATTTAAACTGCTGTTGATGTTGATTGCTGTTCAGTTGTTGTTAACTTTTCTTTTTATTATCAAGACTTCAAAAGTCTATCTCAATCTTTTAATTTTCCATATTTTCCATAAAAGCATTTTAAGATAAAAGTTTTCATTAATAAGTATTTAAAGTTCACCAATTTCATTTTTACTGAATTCTACAAATGAGGTATGATATGAGACAGGGTTTTATAAATTTGGGAAATGTTTAACGTAAAAAGCTTGTATGCTTTGTTAAACTTCTGTATTTAATTGTTGTTGTAAGCAAACTTGCTCATCAATAGACCTGAAGAGAAACAGAAAACAATTTTATCATATAAATGAAACATCTGTTGGTACTTTAGTTCACTGTTTTTGTTACATACATTAGCGCTTGGCCAGTATGTGGAGTCAGTAAAGTTGTACATATATCTGCTGTATATCTACTATTCCAATGTAAATACAAAAAGCATGAATTACAATACAATGAATAGTTTGTGTAATACAGTATAGTGTGTCATATTACAGAGTATAGTCTAATAGGTCTTAGTATCTTAACTCTAAGAATATTTTTAACCTAAATATTCTGAAATTTCTCAGTTCCCCTTAAAGTTTCAAGATTTTCTGCAATTTATTCAGTTTCAAGTGAAGAGGTAATTTTGTAACATGAAATAATAATGTAACATGAATTAATAATGTAACATGAATTAATAATATTTTGCTATATTTGACAAATATTTAAGATTTTGAGAATGGAGAATGAACTTGCAGTTAAGAAGTTTTGTGATTCGGTGACATGATACATTGTTAGTGGCCTGGTGTCTTCATGTCAAAGCTGTCCACTCTGTTGACATATACCTACACTAGACGCCTAGTTTTAATACCTAATGTGCTGTTAAAGGATTCATTGTATCTAATATTCTACTAGACAAATTTACAAAATTTGAAAACTACGTCAGAAAAATGAATTAATAAGACACATGTTGTAAAATTAAATTTTAAAATATTTGGTTTTGCATTTTCAAGAATTTACTATATGATAACTTAATATATAGTATATGTATGCTAGGACTGCAAGGGTGAATAGAAATGTCAGGGTCTCAATTATTATCCCACCAGATTTACAGCACAGCAACAGGAACTGTGTTATAAGTATTTTTATCCACAGGGATTCACACCTCATGTAAGGTGTTTGGATGTGTATAACTTTGTTAATATATATAATTAATAATAAATGCGGTGCAGGTGCTATTTACCTACATGTAGTGGGATGTAGCGTCCCAGATTAGTTATCGTAATAAACAAGGCATAATGCAAGGAAGTGGTATTCATATGATAATTGAAAATAAGTCCTTTTTCACATATAACTCTGGTATTTTCAGAACCAAAAACATTTATAAAAACTGCTTTGCTTACTCTTGATTATAAAGATTGGTCTTGACAATCGACATAAAAAAAATATCCAGAAATATTCCAGTTCATGAAAATAGCCCAGATAAGCACAAATTTAATATCTGATACAGAGTGATTTATGGATAATCAAGGACAGCTGAATACTGATTCAAGCTGTTATCCATTAGCTTACATTGTGTTTAATGTACTTATGGACACTTTCGTGGCATTATGATTATATTCAGTATAAGTTGTACAATATACATGGAAAGTGAAAGTGACTCAGCAAATTATATGACTAGAGTTTGCTTGCATATTGCCTTTATTTTACACTAATCAGTAACAGGTTGTGTTGTAAATTATACATAAGTTATACTTGTACAAAAATCAAATAGCTGTTTGTTATATAACATTTATTTATTCATATTAATCATGATAATATATTAAACAGCCAGATCTTTATAGATGCTCGACTGCAGAACGACATTTTTTAAATTGTTGAATTGTTATTTATTCAATTATGGAAGAAATATGGACATGTTAAGAATTTT